ATAAAAAAATTTTAATGTCTATTACTTAATTTATTAAAGTTAAATTTAAGATTTTATATAAATAATATTTTCACCCAAATTTATGATTTTATTTTATTTATATTTGATTTAAATAAAAAAATTAAATTATTAAACAAATCAAAAATCCAGGTCAAATGTTAAATCCCTTGCCATGTAAGCATGACATGGCAATATTTTGCCATCCAAGCAGCCAAGCGGGGTGTCTCCTCAACGGCAGTTAAGTCAGGCGAGCAATCCCAAACGGCAGTTAAGTCAGGCGAGAAATCCCAAACGGCAGTTAAGTTGGCGTAAGAAGAAGGGCTTAATTGCTTTGATCCCAGAGTTTAAGGGCTTAACTGCATCAATTAAAGTGTAGGGGCTTAATAGCGATTCTGGGGTTAGTTCAGGGGCTTAGCTTATGGTTTTGCCAAATAAAAATAAAAAGTTATTGTAGAGAAGGATTAAAAATATAATAATATGAATAATATTAATTAAGTTAATGTGACATTAACATTAACAAAACACTGAAAAGAACTTTGTTATTGGTAAATAAGCATGCATGGGCCTGTCTTGTCTACAGGGGGGGTAAAATTTAAATTCTAGTTTGTTTGAAAACAGTTATAGTTGGATGTAAATTGAACTTGGAGTATCCCTTATATTCTCTAATTTGAATAAAATATTAATTTTGTTGTTTAAAAAATAATGAACTTTTCTTTTGCACATGCTTTGAGATTATATAAAAATTTCAATATTTCTTAATTATTTTCCAAATTATATTCTTCCTCAAGCTTTTTTTTAGAAGGACAATAATTGATACATTATTCAATTTAATATATTCTATAACATATTTATTAAAAAATTATTATTTTTAAAATTGAATTTAAATTAAGAAAACTATCAACGGCAAATTTGAATGGTTAAATCAATAGATGTTAATAAGTATATTAAATTAAAAGATATATTGATCATTTTCATTTGTAGAAATATATTCCTCCCGTAAATCTTTTTCTTTTCTTTTCTTTTCTTTTCTTTTCTTACAAATATATCCTTCCTCGATTCTAAATTATAACTGATTTATTGCAGGGGCACCAATATCGTTATCAGTCAGTGACCAACGTTTGAAACGTTTGGTGGCTTTGAGAGGTAAGTAATCAATGTTTTAAAACCTGATTTGCTAGTCGATTCGTTTTTAGTATTCGGTCTACTTTAATTAACTAGTCAAATTGGTGAATTAAAAAGATTAACATTTTAGTATTTGTTGAATATTTTACTTCTATGTATTGATATTAACTTATTTTACTTTATTTAATTTTATTTTTAAAATAAAATATAATTGGTATACACTTAATTCAACATACATTTTGATACTTATCTTGGTTTTGAGTTTAATTCGCATGACGTGCATCTGAGGTAGGTTAAGAGATGAGAAAAGTTTCTCTCATTGTACAACCCAAAATAATATATATAGTTAGGATCCACTTACATATAAATCTTACACACCATACTTATACAAAATGTTAATAATTCATCTTTTTACTTTCAATTGTTAAGATTTGTTCACTTTTATCATATTTATCACGGCTTTTTAAATAAAAAAGATAGTTAACTTTGATCAATATGATAAAAAGTAAACAAACCTCAATCATTGAGAAGAGAGAGATGAATAATCAAAATTTTGTGTAATATGGTGTGTAAGACTTATATCTAAGTGGATCCCTCCTCACACACACACACACACACACATATATATTTTGTTCATTTAAATATAAATTTTACATACTAAATTTTATACAAAATCTTAACCATTTATCTCTTTACTTTCAATGATTAAGATTTATTAACATTTATTAAAGATAATTATCTTTTTCATCTTAAAAATTTGATAAATCTCAACCATTGAAATTGAAGAGATGAATGATCAAGATTTTGTATAAATATAATGTATAAGTAGATCCCTCCTTTATATATATAGTTTTAATATTATTATGTGAGTACAAGGGTTACTCAAACCCATAAACATCATCATATGAATCAACAAGCAGCAAAAGGTCCAAAATACAGGGAGCCCAAAAATATCCCAAAGCAAGCTTATAAGCTCTATTTTATAAGCTCTATTTCCTATTAGTCATGCATCTCACTGGATTCGAAATCCATTCTATTAATGAAAAGTTCTCAAGGTTCAACAGAATTCTAACCCAGTGAAATGAGCGAATTTGTACCAGTTGAAGTAGCTTATTATCGTTAGGCTTTTTGTGTTAGAAAGTTATTTCATTTCCGCTCAACCATATTGTCCACACTATGGCAAACCATAATATATTCCAGCTTTTTCTCAAAATTTTTGGGCCTTTGTACTAGCTGTGTTGACGGAAGACATCCATGCAAGTATTCCCAAAAGCATAATGTATCCCCCACCAGTTGAGACATCTTGTCCATCAAACCATTGCTTTAACTTCTTCTTCAGTGAAAGGTTGGGTGAGCATGCTTCTATCAGTGGCCAAGATAATTCTGAAGCTTAACCCCTGTAAAGTTGGTCTTGACCATCCTTCGTCTATGAATAAGTTTTCAAAGTACTTCATTATGCCTTGTTTTATCTCATCCACTTGTTTCAACTCTCTACCTTTTATGGATATTATATTAATTTTATTTCTGTGCCATCTCCCCGTGATGCACTTGTGGAAATAACTGGTATTTGCATCTCTTGTTTTTAATCAATTTTTCCTCACTTTCTGTTGGGCCATCTCTTCTTTTAGCTACATATTCTTTAACAACTCAGCATAATGATTGCTCCTAGACATAATGTCATCATCAGTTAAGCTGCAAGTTTCCCCTTTTCCATCAATTTTGTAAATCTCCTCTCTGGACTCCTCAATTTTTCTATCCACTTCCTATAGAGAAGACTTTGACCACGCCCGAAGAAAATCCTTCATCAACTTCAATTTCTCCTTTACAATGAAACCACCCCATCCTTGAACTTTAAATTCTTTCCATTTTGTTGCAACCATATCTCTAAATCTAGGAGTATGTAGCTAGGCATTAAAAAACTTGAATGGTTTTGGACCCCAATTTCGTGCCTTATTTTTTACCAGTATAGGGCAATGATCTGAGAAAGATCTAATGAGTCCCCACTGCTTCAAATCAGGCCATTTCATTAGCTAGTCATCATTGAACAAGAACCTATCCAAGTGACTCATATAGTGGCCATTTGGTTGATACCATGTGTATTTCCTTCCCAACAATGGTAAATCTATCAAGCCACTATTCACTATAAACTACTCAGACTCCTTTACCTCTCTCCTCACACTTTTACCCCCTTTTCTTTCCTGCATACTTCTAATAGCATTAAAGTCCCCCCTCGCACCAACCACCCCTGTTCTTCCTAATCAACTGTTCAAGTTCTCTTCACAACCTTCTCTTCCTCTCTAAATTGCAAGGGGAATACACATTACACAAAAAGGATGGTATAGCATCAGGACCCCATAACCCATGAATCCCGAGGAATCCCTCTCCTTCAAAAGCACTTATTTTCTTTAACACTTCACTGTTCCACATGCTAATTAATCCTTCAGAGGCAACCGAGGATGATTTTGCCACCCAATCCATATTATCTGAGTCCCATAGCCTTCTACAATATCTTTTATCGACAGATTCTACTTTTGTTTCTTGTAGGAATAAAACCTCCACTCTATGTTTGGTCACTAACTCATGGACCTCTCTCTTTTTCTTGCAACCCCCCAACCCCCTAATGTTTAAAGATAGCAAAATCATGGGGGATTAGGAAACACTTGATTTCCAGTGGGTGTTGTTGCTGTGTCTTTCTTTCTTCTTTCCTTGTCTCGCTGCTCCATCTCTTCAAGCTTTCGGATTATCAACAACTCGTCCCCTTTCATAGAAACCCCCAGTTCCTTGATACAGCACCATAATGCTTTTGAGTATTTGATTTTGCTCTTCACTCCAATCCCCTTGTTGCAATTTTGGATATTGCAGTCATTTATTGAGTCATCTGCCATTGAATCTGTTGGATCTGCCTCAAATATGACCTGTTGCGTCATTTTTTCCATCATTGACCGATTCCCCTTCTTTTTCTTCTGCATTAGAAAACCTCCAAGGCCACCAGTTTGCAAGTACACCGACTGGCATGGCTTCACTCTCCGTTTCTTCTTCTTGTTCTTCTTTCCTTCGAGCACTGTCGCCCATTCCGGCAAGTCCCCTGCGTCACTTTCCATATCATCCCAAAAGGAGTCTGAATTCGCTACTCATATCCTCACGTGCTTTCCATCTTCTATTCTTTCTTTAGTTGTCTAACAATCGGTGTTGGGCTTGGTGTTTCATGGTTTATACCACCAACTTTTGGCCTATTTTTCCCCTTTCTTGAGTCCAGCTCTTTTTCAACCCAATTGGCCCATTACCAATTGCATTTTTATCCGTTGCACCTTTTGAAAAATTCTCCCACCCTATCTCTCTCATTTCCCCTATTTTGAAACTATGGCTGTTCCAATGCTTTCTCTGCAGGTTTCCATCTCCAGCAGCACCTGTCTTTCATCCTTCTCGAGCCCATCGCTCATTAAATGCTTACTTGTAAGCCCTTCCAAACCACCCGATGTGTTCTCCTCTGCCTCCTCATGTTTTTCGATTGTTCGCCCTGTCATAGAGTCTTCTTCTTCTGTTGCTTCATCAGTACCTAACCTACTTTTTTCTTGTCCATTTAGTTGACCCACCATCACAATAGCTGATGTGTCACCCGCTAATGATGCCACCACATCCGTGTGTCTCACCTCATTTTGCACATTTATCTCCTGCATTTCTAGTCGGATCGCCATATCATCTTCTTCTTCATCTCCCCTATTTTGTTCGGCTTCCAATCCAAGCATGCTAAGATCTGTATCCTCAGAACCCTTCATTGAATATTCCTCGCCCTTCTCACAACCTTCATTGATTTTAAAATCTGAGCTCATTACATACAACCCGTTGCTGGACTCCTCAGAGAATTTAACTCTAAACATGACTCCATTAATCTTTATGGATAAGCATTTTGAGATGGGTTCCATTATGGGTGTTGATATGAGGAATCTAGCAACGTCAAGAGGGTTTTTCTTGCTAGTGCTATCATCCACCGAGACAAAAGTGCCCCAAAGGTTTCCAAAAGATTGGAAATATTTCGGCTTCCATGCATGTAGAGGTAGTCCCAAGCACTTAATCCATGTGAACCTCTCTGTTGCCACCATGGTTGGTGACCATGGTTTGATTTCCTCGAGCCAATGTCCTAACCAGTCTCGGCCATTCTCGACCAACTCCTTTAAGTCTTCATAGTCATGTCCTTCCAACAGTACTAGCCTACATCCCATTGCTCTGATCTTGCAAAAGAAGACTCCTTCCATATAGAATTTCTCCTGCAAAGTTGGGATCAAAGTTATCGAGTGAACAGTCCCCACGAAACATCTCTCTAGTCACTGATACTCTTTCTTGTTAACATTGAACTCCATTCCTATCCATGCTTGGGGTCGTGTTTTTGGCTTCCATCTCCATTTTCTTTGCTCACTTGCTCTGGAATTTGTGGCTTGATCTCGTCTTCTTGCTCCGTGGAACTGTCCCCTTCTCACCCCATACTCCTTGTTTTCTGCGGCCTTTCCTTTAACTACATCTGCATAAGTCAATTTCTGTTGCCGTTCTGCATTAACTACAACCATCCCTCTCGTCATATTTCCTATGTTCCTGTGTTGCTGATTTTCATAACATGTTTTCTCAAACCGTGGCTTATTGGCTTGAAGTTTAATTCTTGCATTTTGAATCTGATTCAGTGTTCGTTCCAGCTCACCAGCATCTTTAACTTCCAAGAACCTAACAAACCTGAATCTCCTTCCCAGGCAATCTCTCTTCTTAGGGAACTCTATTTCGATTACCCTACCCCCATCCAGTCTGTTGAAGTTTCTCCACATCTATTCCAATGTCCAATCTTCTGGAAAGTTTGTGAAGAAGAATGGAGTTGCTTGATTGTATATCTTCGTCTCAAAACCCCCAAAATACTATGTCGACCTATCCTTTCTCTCTAGCTGGGTACCCTCATAACGCTATGCTGTTCGCTGTCCTCATTCTCTACTGTCGATCTTTCTCTCCCAAGCTCGCCCTCTCTCTATCGCTCTCCCTCTCATCTCTTTCCTTCAATTTTCCCAAATCTCTTATATGCATGCCCTTATCCTGATATCTCGCATGATCTTGCTGGTCCAACGTGTCTCCTCAACAATGGTATCAGAGCCGATATTGGTGATTAGTCTTGGGTCTAGTCTAGCAAAGTGAGTGAGTAGTTTTCAATTTTTTTTTAATGTTTGGTAAGTACTACTATACTTGCAAATCAAATATTTTTTTATAAAAATTATAATTTATTTGATTTAATCTGAATGTAGTATTAATTGCCGAATGTATAAAGCCTAAAAACCAAACTCTCACACTAAACGGAGCTTAAAGTAGTCATTTAATTTCAAAATGAGTTTACACTTAAAGTTGATTACATTCTAAAATAGAGAACTAGAATTAGACTAGTCCTTGCCTTGATGGATCAATGGAAATCTCGACAAACCAAACCAAATCAAAATCTTACTGATAAAAAATCTTGCTCAAAGATCCAGCGGTGGATAAAATAAAGAGGGGACAATTGGGTCGAATCACTCACAATACTTGAGCAATTCCAAACAGTTAAAAGAAGAATAGATCCAGAGATGAGGAAATTAATTATATGGTATATATTAACTAACAATTAATTCCGCATTCCAATTGGAGGACCTTTTTTAGGACTTGGTAAGCAATAACTTCCACTAATTAGACCTTTTTTTTTTCCCCTGCTTTTGCTATGTCTTGGTAATTATTTGTAAAAATATAGTGCTTCCTTATCGCCAAAGCAAATATATGACCTATGCGAGTAGAGCAAGTCTTTAAATAGAGGAAAGTGGGTACACTCTCATGTGTAATTTAAAATAAAAATTTAAAAATTATTAATTTTAGTGAAATAAAAGATAAAGAAAGATTAAAAATATAATAATACGAATAATATTAATTATGATAATGTAAAATTAACATTGACAAAAACACTAAAAAGAACTTTGTTATTAATAAATAAGCATGCATGGGCTGTCATGTCTACGGGGAGGGGCAAAATTTAACTTCTAGTTGTTTTGAAAGGGTTATACATGGTTGGATGGATGATAAGTCCCCTGGTACTCGATATTAACTTTGCTTTTCAAATTTTTTTTAAAAAAAATTGATGTTAATGTCTAATAAAACCTTAATTCGAATATAATTTGATGTAAATGGTTAGAATTACTTCTTATATTTTAAATTAATAAAATTTATTTGGTTGGTAAAAAAATATTGTTATTGTACACGCATCGAGGATATATAAAAATTTATACCTAAATAAATATTTCTTAATCATTTTCCGAGTTATATATATTCTTCCTAAATCCCTTTTTTTGTGGAAATATATTCTTCCTGTAAATCTTTATCTTTTCTTTTTTTACAAATTTATCCTTCCTCGATTCTAAAGTTATGATTTCTTGCAGGAGAAATATGGCCATCATCATCATTTACTATGAAAGATTTGATGCGTCTGAGAGGTAAGCGATCAATGTTTTAAAATCCCATTTACCAGTCGACTCGTTTTTAATATCGTGTCTACTTTAATTAGCAAGTCAACTAGGTCAATTAAAGAGGTTGACTTTTTAGTATTTGTTGAATATTTTACTTCTATGTATTGATGTTAATTTATTTTACCAATTTTAAAAGTTGAACCCACTAATAAATAAGTATTATATTATAAGTCATATTTAGAGTTTAAATTTTAAAGTTAGCACTCAAGGACTAACCTAAGAATACCTTGATTGTAAATTAATATCAAATAAATATATTATCTTAATTAAATTTAAATTAATTAATTTTATTTTTAAAATTAATTAGAATCTATTTATATTTAGTAATTAAAGTAACATTTATAGTATATTTGGGTTGAGGAAAGAGGAGAAAAAAAGTTTTTTAACTAATCAAATTATACTGATTTTAAATCTTAAAATTTGATTGGTCAAAAAATATTTTCCTCTCATTCATTCCACTCAATTCAAATATACTATTAATTTTAAATAGAATTTAATTCCAGAATTCATTACATTTTCAGATTTAATTAATTTCAAATTAATTTTATTATTTAAATTTATTAAAATGACATATATTTTTCTTTTATAATCCATTTAAATCATGGAAGTTATATTTATTACAAAATTATTTCTTTCTTTATCAATTTTTTTTTCAAAGATTTAGTTCTAATTTTAAATTTCTTTTTTTGTTTAAATTTCAAAGGGGAGGAGAGAGTTTTTTAATTAATCAAATTATAATGATTTTAAATCTTAAAATCTGATTGGTCAAAAAATTTTTCCCTCTCATTCATTCCCTTCAATCCAAATATACTATTAATTTTAAATATAATTTAATTCCAAAATTCATTACATTTTCAAATTTAATTAATTTCAAATTAATTTCATTATTTAAATTTATTAAAATGACTATATTTTTCTTTTGTAATCCATTTAAATCATGGAAGTTATATTTATTACAAAATTATTTCTTTCTTTATCAATTTTATTTTCAAAGATTTAGTTCTAATTTTAAATTGCTTTTTTTAATTTTATTAATTAAGGCTCCGTTAGTATGGTTGTGGATTTGGATTTTGGGTTTTGATTTTTATAAATTTTGCAACTCTAAATAAAATAGTTGTTACATTTCACTTATTTTACAATATAACATTATGATTATTAGAGAAATAAGGACAAAAACTATTTTAATACTAGTAAACCAGTAAATACTTTTATATCAATGTTAGAATTTGTTTTAAACGAATTTTTAATTGTTGATTTTTAGTTTTGGTATTCAATAGGCGTAAAATTTATAAAAACCCAAACCAAAAATTTAAAACTAGAATCATATTAAACAAACCCTAAAGCTTCATTTGATATGATTTTGGTTTTGGGTTTCTAGCGTTTTTGTTATATACTTACAAATCAAATTTTTTTTTTATAAAAAATACAATTTATTTAATTTAATCTAAGTGTAGTATTAATTACTAAATATATAAACCCAAAAACCAAAACTATACTAAACCAAACCAAACCAAACCAAACCAAAATCTTACTAATAAAAAATCTTGTCGAGATCAAGTGGCGGATAAATTGAAGAGGGAATAATTGGGTCGAATCACTCACACTCACAATACTTGAGCAATTCCAAACAGTCAAAAGATAGGAAATTAATTACATAATGTATATTAACTAACAATTAATCCCTGCCTTAATGGATTTTTTTTCTTAATCAACCCCTGCCTTAATGGATTACTATTGGAAATAATGAGAAACCAAATAAATCCTACATCCTGTCTTACTCATAGGGACATGAGTGCTCTATAATAAAGAACTACAAAGATAGGTCTCATATAAGGATCGTGACCGGCCGGGTTCTTAGAATCCAAATCATGGGTTAAACCCAGTGAAAGAACCTAGATCGATTCTCGGGGTTCTCTCTCTATGCGTACACTGAGGAAGGAAGGAAGGAGGGGCAAGGATGAAGGAGTGGAAAAGGGTAGAAGAAAAAGGAGGGAGATGTAAGGGGGAACCATCAATGGACGTGCGATGGTGGTGGTAAGGCTAGGTTCCTCATGCGACTATAGCGACGATGCTGGGTTCTTCACACGACAGTGGTGACAACTGACAAGGTTGGGTTCCTCAAATGATGACGGTAGTGAGGCTAGTTTCCTTGCATGGTGTTGTAGCTCAAGGGAGAATCTGGATTTCACAGTATTCAGTTGAAGGAGGAAAGAGAGAGGGACTAATTAATAGAGAAAAAGTTAGATTTAAAGAGAGGGTTAGGCGGTAAGTTTGGAATTTCAATTTTATAATTTTTTAACATAAACGGGTGCTTGAAATTCCATGTCATATTTAATATTTTAAGAAAATTGCTATATCATCATCATCATTTTTTATTTCTTGGATTTTCAATAGGAAAATGATTCAAAATAATTTTTTATATTATCTTTTGATATAATTTTATATTTCATTTAAATAATTAATTTTTTTATTCGTTTAAGACTCGTGATATTAAGTATATTCATTCATTTAATAATATTATCTTTTGATATAATTTTATATTTCATTTAAATAATTAATTTTTTTATTTGTTTAAGACTCGTGATATTAAGTATATTCATTCATTTAATAATATGTAAAAGTTATATAAAAATATTGTATAAAAAATTTATGTAAAAAGATTGTTCTTATATTATTGCCATTTTCAATATTATTTATGTAAAAAAATTAAAAGAAAAGATATGATTTGTCAATTAACCACATCATAACAAACATAATGGAGGGAACAAAAAGGTGGAAAAAATTATGTTGAGGGATCATAAAAAGGAAATTTTATCAATTAAGGTATTAAGATGGAGCTCCTTAGGAACGAAGGTGTAACGGGGTGTTTGGTTTGGAATTTCCTAAACAGTTATCAGTTTTAGTTATATCTAAATAGTTAATCTAAGTACTTATTTAATTTTTTTAATTCTAGGGTTTTAACCTTTTTAGTTAAAGGTTATATTTTTGGGCAATAAATTATTGCAATTATGGAACTCATTTTTCTCAATTTTGAATATAATTGCAGTACGCTTTTTTTTTTTGTCTTATTACAGTTATCTTCTTTTGGCTGTTTTTACTATTTTCATTGCCTCTACTGATCTTTGGTAAGCAACAACGTGAACAATGAACCTCTCTCTCTCTCTC